GGCCTGGATTTTTAGAGAGATTTCAGTACCTCAAGATGTAGACAGATGCCCAGTAGGTCTTCTAGCACCAGGCACTGGCTCTTCTGAGCCCCTCATCCTCTTACCTATGTGCTCAGACACTCCAACCTCTTTGACATCCAGGTCCATAGGGTCTAACTGTCTGAGCTTTCAAGGGTGGATGAAGCAAGCTGTGGGCATAGCAGATAAATTGGTGCATCACGCTTAGATAGAAATGCAATAGAAGGAGGAGCTTGATGTACACCTGGTATGTCTGATATACGAGGTGCTTTTATGCCCTCTGGATTCTGTAAAATAACATGCCATTATATGTGTACATGCACATATGCATGTCAAGCTTGCATTTCTGTCACCACTTGATCTCAACACACTGCCAGATGAATTGTATACCAGATCCCTGTGTTGCAGCATCTTCCCCTGACACACAGACACGCCGTGGGTGCGATACAGTCGGTGTGAAACAACTCCCTGTCTCCATCCTCAAGCTGGATGGGCCAGGACAACACCTCTCCTTCCCTTGGGTAGGGAAGGGAGGACAGCAAAGGAGTCCTGTATGGACTCACCGAGTTTCTTCTGCAGCAAGTCTCATCCGTTCCATCATAGATGGTCATGTGCTACTCTTCTGGCTGGCCACGGAGCTGTAAAGAAATGGAGCAGAGCAGTTTGTACAAGCCCCGTTGCATCCTGCGCCCCTCAGGTGACACTCACCCCCATGTGATAGGCATGGGCAAAGCACAGTTAAATATAAACAGCAGGGGAGGTTTCCACCTCGCTTATAATTTACCAATTTTCAGGTCCCTGGCAATGGAAGCAAACAGCAGATCCCAGCTCAGCCGGAGATAAAGTCAAAAGGAACAACAATTGAAAACAAACCATTTGGGGGCAGTTAAACTGTTTGGCTTTGACATGATCCAAATGCCTTGATTTAACCTTGAACTTTTCACTTCTATTTAACTGAAACAAAAGGAAACCCAAATAAAAGGAAAGGCAGAAGCAACCATCAAAAGAAATTTCATTTCAGGCTGGATGCAATATTTAGTTTGATCCCAAAATATCAGGTCATTTTCAGGGTTTCATTTTTGCTGCTTAATTAATAAAAAAAAAAATGATGTGATGGGCTAGCTGTTGTGATTTGGCCCAGGGGTTTTGAAAGGGTAAAAGGTGATTGGAGGGCTTGGGATTCCCTTTCCTCACCAATCAGGACTCAGAGACTCACCCTCTGTGTCCCCTGATTGGCCCCTTGGGTCATCCGGAAGGGGATAAAAGGGGCAGCATGGCTGATTTGGAGGAGACCTGCAAGGGATGACTAGGAAAGAGTTTCAAAGAGCTGGGCCAGTGGGGTAGGAGCAGATGCCTCAGAGGACCCTGAAGGAGCAGGACCCATGGGCACGCAGCACGGCCGGCAGGAGAGGGTCCCTGCTGGGCTCCAGGATCCCCAGCAAGAGGCTGCAGTCGGCAGGAGAGGTTCCCCACCTGGCTCCAGCAGAAAGCTGTGCAGTGACCTGAGAGGCTCCCAGCTCCACTTCCAGTTTCTCCAGTAAGAGGTAGGGTGGCTCGACATGAGGTAGAAGCTTCCAGACGGTCAGCAGCCCCAGCAGCCCAGCCTAGGCCCAGCAGTGGTGGCTGTGTGGTAAAGTTTCTGCCTACCATGTGGGGATCTTAGTTCAACTTTGGGCTGGGTTCAGAGGGATGAGTGAAGCAACAAGGTAGAAACCCTTGTTGGAGTGGAGGGGGGTCTTTGTGCTTTCCCCCTCCAGGTACCT